CGCGAGCTTCCCTCTCGCCCGGCTTCCTTAAGGCTAAGCCGTCCCCGCCCCTTTGCCGTCTCCCACCCCTTCCCTCGAGTCGTGGCCGCCGCAGCGCCCCCTTCTTTCGCCAGAGCCCCCCAGGCCGAGCGCCGCCCACCTGTGGGAATCGGGCCCCGCCGCGCGCTGGGGAACCTGTGGCGCCGCGCGCTCCTCCTGCCCCTCCGTGTCGCCTTCGGCCTCTGGGCAGAGCTCCGGGTGGCTTTGAAAGGCCTGTCTGTTCGCTGCCGCCCTTCTAAGGTAAACTCTCACCAGTAACTCCCCCTTCTTTCCAAACCGGGGCCTGGCTGTTAGGAGACAAGGAGGAGACTCAGTCTGATAAATTACATTTAGAATCCAGCTTCCCTGGAAATGGCTTCTTGAGAATGCCTCCATTGGCTTGCATGGTGAATTTGGGGATATAGGTCGCCTGTTCTTGGTCTTTCAGTACGGCCCCTCTCCCCTCCTTCCACCCCGCGTTCACACCAGTGCATAATGAATTGGCATTAAAAGGCGAGAGGTAGCTGTTATGCCGCTGCGAGGTACACAGCCCTTCTGGAATGCAGAAGCTCACAATTAGCAACTCCTTTATGAAAACTTGTTATTGCAAATGGGGTGCTTCACCGCCGACACTGTTCTCATCGGTGTCCTGGATGGTTGTGGCCCATTATGGGCTAATTATCCAGGGATCTTCATTGCCGAAGCAAAGATTAGTTTGACGAGGAGGGTGGAGGACGGTGCTGGGAAACTGGAAGCTTAAAAGCGAGGAATTAAGAAATATCTCAGAGGCAGAGTTTTATTCATTATCTCTTGAGCAGGCTGTGAAAGCAATCTTTTATTTGCGCTTTAAGAATACTGCCCCCCACCCCCATCTCTCCAGGGGCTGAGTTCTGCGTACCAGATTGCATCTTGAATTTTCTCTTTCGAGTATTGTTACCACAATTGGTTCTATTTTAATTTTAATACCACATTCAAATGCATTTTATTCCTTCAGTGTTTGGAATGCAGTTTGGGGATAGGGGCGGAGAACTGCATGAGGGGGAAGGCTGGCTCTCAACCCAAGGGTGTTGTGGGCAGGTGTGGCTTCTCCAGGGTAGGAAGATGGAGGCAGAGTCTGGGGAGGCAACTGCTGGAGTGGGATTGAGCCCATTTCCCCCAGTTTTCTATATCTGACATAGTAACTTGTTTCCTCCTGGCATGAAGGTCTTCACACTGTCCATCCTGGGACTGGATTAGTGGCTCTTTAAATTTTTAAAGAGAATGTGATGGGAAGTAGCCATCTGTACTTTCTTAGAAGTTTTGAAAACTTTCCACTTGCTGTTTTCCCTTATTTTTTTCATTTTAACTCTCCTTTGTTATGAATTTTAGTTTCCATTCTCTTTCAAATGCTTCCCGCCCCCCCCCCGTTTTTCTTTCAGCGTGACTATGAAACGTTTAAATTATCTTTCTTTTCCTTTTGGGAATCAAGTAGTTTTTGCATGAACCAATATAAAAAACCTTATCAGGGAAAGAAGAAGAAGAAAAATAAAGGACAATGACTTGTTTTGAAAGTGGCCTGTTTCTAATGGACTTGGAGGGTGTTCTTGGATTATTTTTCTCTCTCAGAAGGTCTAAGAGTCTTGCAGGCTCACTGCCTGTTAAATAAGAAAGCATTCCACAGTGTTTATTTTCCTGTTACCTGCTGTTTGCTTTTAGCCAGTTTCCCGGTTGAGGAGTTCAGCGACCCCTCTGTATGTACCCCGTCATAGCTGAAGGATTGAAAGAGGCGATGAAGCCCAGCAAAACCCCAGGAAAGAAAACCTTGGTAGGAATTTGAATTGGAAAGTAGCTCAGGCCATCTGCTCCAGCCTGGAATGGGGCATGCTCCTGTCCAGATGGCTTTCCTGCAGCCACTGCCTGCTGAAAAGCTGCTCCTCTCTGGAAGGGCTGCTCATTGCTTAGGTGAAGCCTTCCCTCACCAGTCTGGGCAGCATTTGTCTCTTTCCTCTGCACATAGCTTGTTGATTCTGTTGCTGTCACATACAGTTATGATACAGTGCAGCAAATGTCTTCTGCGTCATCCAGTAGATACTTACTGAGTGCCTGCTGCATGTCAGTGTTCTAGGTGCTGGGGGGCTAGAGCAGTATTTCTTCCACCTTCGCCACATTCCAGTTCTCACTGATAGACTTAAAGGGCAGTGAACTGACAAAGTACCTAATGCATAAAAGGAGTTCAACAAGTCTGTGATGAAGGCATGGGTCATTGATTCTCTCTACATCTTTCCCAGTAGAAGTCAAACAGCCTCTGGCGATCAAGTTCATTTTGTTTAATTAGCTCTGATTTATGGTAAAAGTTTGTATTTACTATGGATCTGAGGTTAGCCTTGTGACTGATGTTAACCATTGGCTCTGCCTGGTCGCCCAGAGCCATGCAAGCTGAGACTTGCCAAATAACTTATTTGAAGACCCACCCCCAAGTCTTAGGCTCACATTTTCTTTAGTACGTTGTATGAATAGAAGAGAGAGTTCTGATAGGTTGCTAGAAGCCAGGTCCTACACTCTGTCATAAAGAATATTAGCTTTTTTCTCTGTGTGTGTGTAGTGTTTGCATACATGTGCGTGTGCACACACACAGGGCTGGCATTCAATAGTGAGTCCCATTAAAACTTATATTTAGTAATAGCTTCTTTTGTTGAGTGATGGGTGACTGAAACCTCCCTCTGAAGGTGTGAGAATTCTGTTTTAATGATTGGACAAATAGTGGAATTTTAAAAATTCACATTCTGTTCTGGATTGAGTGCAGGAAAATTGGCAAGTTTCCATTTGGAAGCATCCTGGACTTGATTGAGAGAAAAGATGTTCAAGAGCAAACCTGTTTCTCTTAATTAATATTAACTGCAGCTCTTGCTGAGGTTTGCAGATAGGACCAGCATTTCAAATTAGACTATGGGCTGAGCCTCTCTTCTTTGAAAAGATGACCTAGTTCAGAGGGTTCAGGTTTTTTTTTTTTAATTCTCTTTAAGTATAAATGTGTTTTTTCTTACGTAAGAATGAAAACTTCTGAGAATTATAGGACAGAGAAGAATATTAGAGAGACTAATATTCAACAGTGTCTCTAAACCAAATAAATAGTTCACCTCTTTGTAGACCATATAAACTCTTGGCTTATCCTGGGATTTCTAGAATATGCTGTATTCCATTTTTTTCCCCCTAGCTTAGGGAGACTTGGGATGTAGCCCAGGTCAAGGGTCTGGCCATTTTGGTGGAATCTCTCTGGTGCACAAGTCCTCTCCACATCCTCCCCCTATTTTTTCTGGTTTCTTTGTCTGAGGGCTTTCACGCGTACTTGAAGAGAACTGTTTGTGACTTGAATAAGGTGTCCCCTGATGGTAAGAATGCCTTTGCCACATGCACAGCTGAATCTGAGCATTCATCTAGTGTAGTCATTTTTTTTTTAAGTTGCTTTTTCTAATCAAAGTCACGCCTTGTAGAAAATTTGGAAAATGGGAAGCTGTGGAAGACATTAAAAATGCAGGTAAAAATTACCCACAATTCCACCCTGACACTTAAATTCTAACAGACGTTATTTTTTTCTTTTCTGTGTGTTTTCCCCTCTACCTCCAACAAACTAACTTGGCATTGTATTGGTTGATAACTGCTCCCCCTTTCACTTAGACATGTATTGTGAGCATTTTCCTGTGTTCTTAAAGCTTCTTCAAACACATTTAAAATTTCTATGTAATAATGCATTCATTCAGCAGATACTTTTCGAGTACCTTTTGAGTACTCCGATATCCCTTAGTTCTTAGAGCTGAGAGTCCACAGCAAGGTGAGGAGGGGACAGGGAATAAACAGCATAGTGTTTGATAAAGGTGCATGTGATGGAGATGAAATGGTGATGGGTTGGTGATGAGGTCTAAGGTGGCTATCCTAGTTGTGTGATTAGGGATGCCTCTCTGGGAGGTGAGGAACCACGGGATGAGCACCTGATGATCTAGGAGCAGAGTGTTCCAGGGAGAAGGAACAGCAAGTACAGGGCCCTAAGGTGAAAATGAGCATACTTTGTTTGAGGAACAGCAAGAAAGGCAGTATGTTTGGAGCCTGATGAGCAAGGAGGATGTGGAAGGAGAGGAGATCAGGTGAGAAAGGTGAGCAGGTAGAGCCTTGAGGGTCCTGGGAAAGACTGGACTTTGGCACTGAAAGCTATTGAAAGGTTTTAAATAGGATAGCGATGTGAATGGATTGACTTTCTAAAAACTGACCTTTAGGATGCTGTGTGAAGTGACAACGGTCATACCAGAGAGGCCAGGTGGACGAGGAGAGTGGACCATTGGACTGGGTGGTGGTGGTGAAGGAGGAGAGGAATGAAGGGCTTCAGGATGTGTATGAAGGCAGAGCTGACTGGACAGAATGAAGTGGCCGTGAGAGGTGACGGAGAGAATGCAGTCTACAAAGAGTCCTAGGATTCTGGCCTGAGCCTCTGGGTTGAATGTGCCTTTAGATTGAACTAGAATGTGCCTAACCAATGTGTTGTGGAACATTTGAGTTTTTTGCTGTTTAATGATGGTCTTATGAACATCATTGTATAAACCATTGGTCAGATAAACCTTGGGATAGGTTACTAGGAATAAAATGACTGGACCAGAATAGTTTTAAAACCAGTAGGGTAACAGGGGAGTTTTAAATTTAGCTTACAATCATCCAGTCAAGGTCTTGGTGTAAAAGTAGCTAACAGGCACTACTTTACTGATGTACTTTCTGGCTTACTAAATATATTATTCAAGTATAGACAGAGATACACACATATTTGAGCCTATGTATTTAAACTCTTTCCTTGTTTTTCTGATTATAAAAATAGTATGTGTAAGTTAACAAAAGTTAGAAAGCCAAGAAAGATAAAGGAGCAAAACCTGGTAATCCCATTAACTGGAAGGAAAAAAAATACTGTTAATATTTTTATATGCAGTGTATCTTCTCGACTGTTTTTCACGAATGTATTATGTATTACTCTTTTGAAAATTGCTTGTTTTATTTCACTATGTGTCATTATTTTTAAGTGTCATTAACAGTCTGTTCTTTAATGTGAGTTTAATGCTTTTGTACTATTTCAATATAATTTTTATTTCACTCTTGATTTTTTGAAAAGGTAATACATGCAGATAGTAAAACTTTCAAATAGTACACTAGGAATGGAGGGGAAAATCTCCCATCCCTGACTTCTGTTCCCCAGTTACGTTCCATACGGATACTTTTTCACCCAAAGAATTTGTGCATACACATATCTCATATATGTATGTATAGTGGTGCCTCTTTTTTTTATGTACAAATGTATATTTTATTTTGCACTTCTTTTTTTAAAACTTAGCAGTATAGCTTGGACATTGATTTCAACTAGCATATGTCAGTCTACAATATTCTTTTAAAAAAATCTGCATTTTTTTTTAATGTACAGCTGTGCCGTTGTTTCTTTTCTATCCATTCTCAGATGTTTTGGTCTCAGGACCAAAACACATTTTTTTAACACATTTGAAAATCATTGAGAACCCTAAAGAGCCTTTGTTTATAAGGGTTCTACCTATAAATACTTATATTATATGTATTATTATATATACAGATATAGATACTGTTAGAAATTAAACAGAAAACTTAAAAATATTTACTAATTCATAAAAAATAACAATAATACACCCATTACATGTTAACGTATTTCTATAAAAATGCAACTTTTCCAGAACAAACTCCAGTGGGAAGTATCCGGGTTGTTTTTGCGTATTTGCAAATCTCATTAATGTTTGGCTTAACAGAAGACAGCTAGGTTCTTACATCTGGTTCTTCATTCAGTTGGTGTGCTATGTTGTTTTAGTTAAAGAATTGGAAGCATATCTGGTTTCACCCAGATATGTAGTTGGAGAAAGGGGGAACTCAGACCTCTGGAAGGGTGCCTTGGGCCCTCAGGGATCCTCAGACCACACTTGGAGAATGGCCGATTTAACCAGTACCCTGCTGATGGAAGTTTAGGTTATTTACAGTCTTTTGATATACAAAGCATGCGATGCTGAATGTCCTGTAAACATTTTCAACAAATGTGTAAGTGCCACTCAGTATTGGCTTGTGGGATGCAAAGAGGTGAGAAAAGTCTGTTCCCTGAAGGAGCTGCCAAGTTAATTGGGAGAGGCAGTCAGGCAAACAAGCATGAAGTCATGAAAGCCTGCACGAGGTGGGTCCTGGGGACACAGGGAAGAGCTGGACTACTCAGCATTTAGGAGGATTAGGGGAAACGTTTTAGAGGAGATTCCTGAGCCGAGTTTTGACAAATGAGCCCAGCTACAAATGAGGTGAGCAGAAGTTGTTGTTGCCACAACATACTTGGAACTCCTTTTCTGGAGCTTGGTTGTGGTCCACAGAGATCACTGCTTTTGTGACTTGATCAGACCTTGTATATTATCACTTTAGACCTCACTCATCTCTTAATTATACGTGCTATCAAAGGAAAGGGTTATTATGCCTGCTCCGTATCACCTTTTCCAGTTTCCATTACTTGTGCTTACCTCGGTGATATACACACACACACACGATGCCATGAAACTTAATCTTCTGCTTCAGACTTCCTGAAAGTCCCGTGATGACGGCTGATCATGAAACTAGTAAATCAGGTACTAGGCTAATAGCCATAAATTCACCCATTATGAAGGGCCTGTTTCCTTTAAAACCTACCAGGTAAATCACTAAGTGGTATTATATTATGCTCGTCTGCCCTACGTGGGTCATATTGTGAGACTGTCTAAGGACTTGGAAATTACATTTTTGTTGTAAAATTCTGGAGCGTATGCTTTCATAATGGGTCAGATATATCAACCATGTACTGTCTTTTAGCAAACTAGGTTTTTGTTTGTTTGTTTGTTGTTTTAAAGCATGAGCAGGTAGTAGAGGCTACAGATTACTCTGCCTTTTTCCCCTCCACCATTTGATGTTTTTAGTTCTGGTTGGCCTTTAAGACACGGTACAAAAGGTCTCATTTGTACAGCTTCATCAAGTCCAATTAGATGGCCGATGTTACATTTTAACAGTCTCACCTCCAAGTTTCAAGAGTTCTTGTCCTGGTTAAATGGCAGGTCCAGCAGCACGCCTCCCTTCCTTAGCCAGAGAGACTGATAGTATTGAAATAATGCTAAGTCATTCCTGCTCATCAAATTCCCAAGAAGCTAGAAATCAACTGTTTTCTGTTCTTCAGCACTTTCTTACTGACCAGTAACCTGTGACCCTGGCACTTTGTAGTTCCTGTGACTTGGTCATTATAACCAACGTGTGCAGAGGGTCAAGCGTGTGCCAGCCCTGCACTGGCTGTTGTATGAGCATTCTCTAGTCCACACGCAGATCTACAGAATTACAATTGTAATTCTTCATTTTACAAATAAAGAAATGGCCTCAGAGAGGTTGGGTTATTTATCTTAGGTCAAACAGGTAAATAGAGAAGCCAGCATTCACTCTTGGGACTGCATGGCTGGGATTCATTATATTGTGCTGCTGTGTGGGTACTCCAGTAACTAGTGACTGTCCACTTAATGTCTTAAAAATGCCACACGGGGGCATGAATGGCAGGGAATATTTGCAGCTTAGTTCTCACAGGTACACTGAGATTCAGCAGACGTTTTAAGGGTTGGCTAGAGATATGTGGTTTGTTGTTGTTGCCATTCTGTCCCTAAAACATTAAAAAACAAATGTAAAAAAGGAAACGCCGACTTTCTCTTTTCTCCCACAAAAAGGACCCAAAAAAGGTCTAAAATAGAAACCATGTGTAATTGTGAGGAGGCAGAAACTGCTTTTCATCATAATGTGATAAGACTTCTGGAATAATACCTGAACTTGATTTTTCATGAGTCATTTGACAGATGTTTCTATGCCTGTATTAGGTATGGGGAGGCATGCATGAGTGCCCTCGAGGCATTTACGGTCCAGGATTCAAGTCCTAGGTTCCACAGTACATTCCCGTGGGCCCTGCTGGGGTGTATGGTGAGCATGAAGTGTTGAGGTCATGGACAAGGTGGGAAAGGGCGTTACGCAGAGGTGCTTTTCTCCTGTGATGCCCTTTCACACTCCTGTTCATCTCTCAGAGTCTATTTTCAGTCTCATCACTTCCATGAAAATTTTCCACAGCTGTGGCAGCTACATGTCATTTTCTAATCTGAAATTTCTCTTATACCCATCAGTGTCTCTAACACGGCATGCATTGTCACCTCCCTGTAAGACAATCTATTTTATAACCTCAGTTATAGTCTCTCACCATCTGAATAGTAAGTTCATTAGTTCAGTTCAATGACTGTTTTGATAGCCTATTTGTGGCAGCAGGGGAGGCATACTATAAAAAAAGGTAAAAATAATCAAGATAACTTTGTACACCACGTACCTTATGTAAGTACGATGAAGAAATAGCACAATGACAGAGTGACTGGGAAGACCGCTTTAGAAAGTGAGGGGGCCTCTCTGAGGAGGTGATGTTCAAGCTGAGCCCTGAATGAGTGTAGAAGCCAGGTGCGTGAGAATTTGGGGGCAGAGGGAAGAGCATGTGGCAAGACTGATGTAGGAGTGAACTTCCGTAAGTGGAGAGGAGAGGAGGCCGGTGTCTCAGGAGCACCATGAGTGAGGAGGAGAGGGCAGAAGAGGAGGCTGGAAAGGTGGGTATGGGGTCCTTTGGCATGGCTAGGAGTTTGGGCTTCATTATACCTGGAAGTTAAGTGATGGGTTTTGGGTTTGTTTTTTTGTTTTTTGTTTTTTTGGTTGTAGTTATTTTTGTTTACTTTTTATGTATAACAACTTTACTGAGATAACTTGCATATAATAAAATTTACCCTTTTAAAGTATATAAATCGGTGGTTTTTAGTGTATTTTATACCCACCGCTGAAACAAAGCAGGACCCTCGCCTCTATTACAAATCCTTTCCATGTACCCCATTTCTTGATTGTAGGTAAAAGGCTTCAGCCTCCTAGACCTTCCCTGAGTACCAAAGGGCAGATTCAAACAGTTGCTTATCAGAGAAAATGCAGAAAAGAAAGGAGGAGTGGTCAAACAGTAGTGCGGCCCTGGGGCAGGGTCTGGGTTCCTCCTGAGGAATATACGTAACAATACCTTTGAGTTCTTCTGCGGGAACCAGGGCCCCCACTCAATTGGAGGCTGGTAACTTCAGGCCGAGCACAACCTTCCTAGAAGCTGAGATACCTCACCACCAACCAATCAAAAGGAAGTCACACATCCTGTAGCAACCCCCACCCCAAATTTTGCCTGTAAAAACTTCTCCCCTCAAACCATCGGGGCGTTTGGGCTTTTTGAGCACAAGCCTCTCTTACTCCTTGCTTGGCCCTGCAATAAACCGTTCTCTGCTCCAAACTCAAGACGTTTACGATTGTTTGGCATCACTGTGCGCTGGGCATGTGAACTTGGGTTTGGTACCATTGCCACTATCTAATTTTGGAGAATTTTCATTACCCCAGAAAGAAACCCTGACTCATTAGCAGTCATTCCCTCTTCTCCCCTCCAGCCCATGGCAGTCAGTAATCTACCTTGTTCGTATGAATTTGCAATCTTCTGGATGTTTTATATAAATGGGTTAATGAAATATGTCTCTCTTTTTTTTTGTAGCTGGCTTCTTCCACTTAGCATGTTTTCAAAATTCAACTATGTTGTAATATGTATCAGTACTTCATTCCTCTTTATTGCCAGATAATATTCTATTGCATGGCTATACTACATTTTGTTTGTTCATTCAGTAGTCGATGGACACCTGGGTTTCCTGCTTTAAACATTAGTATACACTTTTTGTGTGTGTGGACATAAGGGTGTATACCTAGAATTGGAATTACTGAGTTATTAGTTATATGGTAACACTTTAATTTTAAGGAACTGCCAAAATATTTTCTAAAGCGGCACCATTTTACATTCCCTCTGGCAATCAATGAGGTTTCCAATGTCTTTAATCCTTGTCAACACTTGTCATTGTCTTTTTCGTTTTTATTTCAGCCACCCTAGTGTGTGTGAGGTGGTCTCTCTTTGTGGTTTTGATTTGTATTTCCCTAAGGACTAAAGATGTTGAATATCTTTTCATGTGCTTTTGACCATTTGTATATCTTCTCTGGACAATTGTCTATTTAAATTGTTTTTCCAGTTTTAAGATTGGCTCATTTGTCCTTTATTCTTGAGTTCTTTATATATTTTGGCTACAAGTCTCTAATTGGATATTGTTTGCATATATTTTCTCTCATTCTGTGGATTTTTTTACTTTCTTAATGGTGTCCTTGGAAGGTTTTAATTTTGATGAAGTCCAGATTATCTTTTTTTTTTTTCACTTGAGCTTTTGGTGTTGTAGCTAAGAAACCATTGCCCAATCTAAGGTGAAGCCATTGTTTTAAAATATGAAACTGATGATCTGATTCACATTTTTTATAGATCTCTTAGGCTATTTGGAAACTGGATTGGAAGGTTCTAGAGTGAAACTATAGAGAACAGTTTAGGAGGTCATTACAGGATCCACAGGCAAATAAGTAAACTTTAAACTTCAGTAAGCACTCGGTCAATCAGTGTATTCCAACAGCGTCCTCTAGATGGGAGTAAGACGGTCTTTACCTTTAAAGAATTCACAAGGTAATACATATAGCCAAGTCATTGTTTTATCAGGCAGGTTATACTGAATACTATGGAATACTAAGGAATAAAAAATGTTTTATTAGAATAGTAAGGAGAGTTCATTTTTGTATCTCCAGTGTCTAACATACAGTCAGTGCTTAATAGCTGTTTGTCACACTTACGGATGACAGAGTAACCGAAAGCGATGGGAGAGATGGCATCAGAGCTTGGCCTTGGTGGGCGGGTAAGGTACTAGAAGATGGAAAATGGAAGCAGTGTTGTGAGACACCCAATGGGGCGGCTGGTCAGTGAGCCAGTGACGTGCGGGTTGGTGAAAGAATTTACTAGAGATTAAGTGTAAGAATAGAAAGGAGTTTATTGGGTGCGCTGTCACAGGCAGCAGCGGGCCACACAGACGAGAGGTGCCTGTGTGAGCACCGGGGCAGAGAACAAGGGAAAAGTTCAATAGTCACGCTGCTATAGGCAACAGCAGGCCACACAGGTGAGGGGTGCCTGCTCCAGCACCGAGGGCCGGGTGTTGGGGTGTTTTATGAGTTCGGGTCACAAGGTGCCTGACTGGCTTGTGCACAGTCTCTGATTGGTTGCAGGTGAGATGAGAACTTTAGGGTCCGTGAAGGGCAGTGGGATTTAGGACTCTGATAAGATGGGCTGAAACGAGCCAGTCTGAGCATTATCTAGGGCTGTTGGTAGGGGAAACACGCCCAGCAAAGAACACACCTATCTTTTGAGGAATCGTTGGCAGATATCTGAGAGCCCAGGAATGGGGGTCTTGGACTTTGAAGGACATCAGTTGGCCCAACAAACAGGATATTTTTGACCAAAGGATCACGTCCGGGAGTAGGTGGTTAAAATTAAGGATATTTTGATTGACACCTAGAGTTGGAGGAATTGTAGGCGATGAGGCTGGTGATGCTCCTGGGGCTTATATAGTTCCAGACCGAGTTTATAAATAGGAAGGCTATGAGGAGTCAATGCCTTCCTCAACCTCCTTTAGCGGCATGATTGTTGTTTTTCATGGCCAAGTATGGAGTGGACTGGAGCGGAGAGAAGGTGGAGCACAGCTAACAGTTTGGGTCAGGTAAAGGGTAAAAGTAATGGAAAAAGGGGTTTGGGAGAAGCTGAGGTGGTGATGGCAGTACCTGACGTGACCGTCTGTGTATGGGAATGGTGGGCAAGGGCAGATCCCACTGCAGCCCTTTGGAGAGTGGAACTTCAGCAATTGGAGGAAAGGTAGTCCCATTTAACACTGATGGGCAGTCCAGGGGTGGGGAGGATAGTTTAACACAGCTAGTGGAAGTTCCAGGGGAAGGATCCCAGGCCTTTGGCACAGCAGGTGGTTGGCAGGGGAGTTGGCTCTGTGGCATAGAGGAAATAGAGTTGCGATTTGGAAGTCATGCATTCCTCAGGCCCAGCCTCTTTCTAGCTTTGTGAACTGTGAGGGCATTAACTTGATTTCCTCCTTTGTAACAGTCCCTACCTCACAGGGCAATTGGGAGGGTCAGATGGGGTCATTTATGTAAAATGTCCAGTAAATAAGAGGTTTCTGTCTGTGGTTTGTTCCCTTCTTCCCTGGAGTAATATGCTTTGATTTCATTTAAAATCTTCCTCAGTGAACATGGTGCTTTGAATCGAGTCACTAGCACAATCCAGAGGGGTTTAGGCAATATATGTGGGTAGGTGTGTATGGGGGTGTGTGTGTGTACAACTCAGCCACTCAGCAGAGGCTATCAGCATTCGCTGTTTTAAAACTCTGTTAATTGTATCATCCTTCCATTTTCCTTTGAATTTGTCTTGCTTCTGTTCTTGTCCAAACAAAAATATTTATGCTAAAGTTACATGTGTGCCTCTTCTGGAAGACTCCCTTAAGTAAAATGGCGTTTTTAAAATTGTGTCATCATTAAGATGGACAGTTTTCTAACAATACCTCTCTGTCTGATTGGATAGATTTTCTCAAGGTCTTTTTAATGTACTGGACTCCTGGTATAGCGAATCCAACTTTTGCTTTGTTTTCCTAAATTCTAACTCAGCTGCTTCTGTGGTTTTTCTTGTACATGACCCCTATAGATCTTGATAAAAGCAGCCAAGGTAGTTTGCAGGAGAGCTAGAAAATATCGATTGCGTGTCTGAGTATAGTTTCCCAGTTTTCTTAAATGGTAACTGTAAATACCATCTCAGGACATAGCTGAGCTTTTCCAAGAGGGAGATTAACTTTGAACTTGCAATACTTCAGTGGCTTAGTTTTTTAAAAATCAAGAATTTAGCTTGGAATAAGACGAAAGGCAGGACCTCCATTTCACTGAGCTCCTAGTTTTGTTTTAGTTTTCCAGGGTTCTAAGGAATGAAACATTATGTATAACAAGGACTGTGTTAAATTTAATTATTTGTTTCATTTCTTAACATCCTTAAATTGGAAGGGACTTTAAGTCCTTCTGTCCAAGGGGCCATTCTGTGCTAGATCCCTTCTATGGCAGCTGACAGCCACTCGCCTCCTCGGGAGGCAGGCTCTTTCACTGCTGGACAGGTCTAATTGTTGGCAGATTTTTTTCCCCTTATACTGAGATGAAAGCCAGCTCCTTGAAACTGTCATCCATAAACTGTCATCCACTTATCCAACTTCAGTCTTTTAGTGTCACATAAATCAAATCCCCTAGCTCTTCAGATAATTGAAAATAGTTGCTAGGCACCACTTCCCTGACTTAATTTGTCTCCCCCCCCACTAAGAA